CTGATGCAGGCCCAAGTAAAAATGCCATAGGGCCTTCAGGTTGCGGTGACGCGACCTGGGGGCCCTATTCCAACCTCGGGTCCCGTGAGGGGCCCATGTGTAGGCTTTCAGCATGTAACAGAGAGAGAGAGGAACTCCTTGGACAGGACCGAAGACCAAGTGTTCTTGATGTGTGACTCGAGGCCTCGCATCCATTTGTCATAATGCCCATGTACTCAGGGCAGCAGACCACAAACTACTGAGGTGGTAATTTCCTGCATTGAAACACAAGTTCATTGCAGAAGACTCTTCCTATTCCCCTCCTCACATATTTTAAAGCCCCTCCTCCGAGTGTATACATCGCCTGAAAGCTGTGTGCATGTACACATGGTTGGGGGTACCCTGTATTGAACAGGGCACATTAGCCCGTACAATGCACGCAGCATAAGGCCCCAAAGCACCCAGATAGACAGACTCTTCCAGGGCAATTCAGGGGCATTTGTGGGGGCAGGGAAATGAGTGAGCACAAGAGAGGGACAGAGAGAGGATGTCCCTCCCTTCATCATTTTTGTGCCACCCTTTACCGTTTCATTCCTCTTCCCCCTCCCTCCCCCCTTCCCCCGCACTTGCCCCTCAACCCACTGTCCTTTTTGAAAGCGTGCCCACATGCACACAAGTGCAACAGAGACAGAAGGGGGCCAGGGAGAGAGAGAAAGAGAAAGGATGCATTCCGGTCCACAGACTGGCTGCCTATGTCTACTTCCCCCTCATCGTCCTCCATCGTGCAGCCCTTCTCTGTCACACTCCACTTCTCCTTCCTCCATTGACTCCTCTTCCCCAGCTCGTTTTTTGAAAGCGCAGATGTGCAAGCAATAGAAATGCAGAAAGAGGGCTAGAGAAAGGGATAGAAACCCGTCCACATTCCTCCCTCTTCTTCCTCCTGCCGTTACTCAAAATTCCTCCACTTTGTCCTCCCTCGTTTGACTCCTCATCCTTCATCACTGCCACGTCAACCTGAAACAGGTATTCTCAAACTTCCTTCAAGTTCCTTAATCGTTTTCCTCCTCCTTGTCCTCGCCTTATTCTTCAGTTTTCATGCAACAGAATGTGGACTGCGCACACCGCACCCTTGGGCCTATTGGTTACCAGAGAGTTGTGACATTTTAGGGCCCTCTTCGACAATACCCCATTGGAAGCTTCTCAACTCCCTTTTCCAAGAATCACGAGACAAAGGGGTGCTGGAAACACAAGCATGGGTGCTGATTTCGCAGCCATCTTGTACACACGTGGTTGGCAGCTAGAAATAATAAATACACTTTCGCTAAAAACTCACTACAACTTCTTCAAATGTTCAATACTCAAGAGCTGTTTGCAAAATGTTCACTATCTGTTTGACAGATGTTCTATACACAGTTCGCTTCACCTACATATATCAACTAAATGGTGTACTTAGCAAGTGAAATGCTTCTTCACCTAAATGGTATACTTGACATTTCAATGCTCAGTGCTCGCTTTCAAACTTCTTCAATGACTTGAGAATTTTTTGAAAAAATGTTGCCAAACGTGCACAATGTAATGAGCCCATCAAGTATGAGAAGTTTTTACAATGCACTGAGATGGAACCATTCGCAGTAAAAAGAAATCACTCAAAATGTACTCCCAGCATCAGCAGCGAGTCGCCAGAAGAAAGACAAAGG